TGGCGCCTCCTCTCCAGCAGCAAGATCTCTATTTTCTGGTGCAGTAAAATCCATTTTTTTCGGATTGGGTACCCATTCTGCTAATTCAGTTTTAAACCTGTCCACAAAGCCAGGCATCATTGTGTTTCCGCCAGCTAACACAATATGACCATATAATTCATTTCTCACATCTGGATCAACGTGCATGAGCATATCATTAGCTCGATCAATAATACCATCTATTTCCTTTCCACATGTTTCTGGTTCAAACAATTGTTCAGCACATTCAAATCTCTCAACACCAAGTTTGATTTCTTTTCCATCTGGGAGGTTGAAAGTTTTATCCAGTTTGTTTGCGTCTTTTTTCTTTTCTTCTTCATAATTCTGAGCAACATAACAAAGTTTTTCTTTCAAATCAGCCAAAGTTTCCTTTTCTAAGTAATCTTTGAAGGTGAATCCATTTGTGTTTGCAAATTTCTCAAGTGAGTCGTTTACATCTTGTCCAGCAAGTTCTAAACGCGACACACCAACTTGCACCTTTGAACCTTCATAAACAGGCACAAATTGAGTAACTCCATGACCAGATTCAACACAAAAACCAGTGCTCTTTCCAGTCGACAACAAAGATAAGACTGGTTGCGAAATTAGACAAAAATGTGAAAAATTAAACGTTTCAATAGAGAGTTGACATATTTTCTGTCTTGATTGTGTTGTGTTATGAACCGATTCTGTCAACAAAATTGGTAAATTTTCGGGTTCAAGTTTTAAACAGTCATAACAACAATAATTAATCATTCTTTCAAAATCATAATTTTTAGTATTAATAAAACCACGTTCAACTGGATTGGATAATTTTAACTGTGCGAGGTGTTTGTTAATTTCTTCACCATAAAAATATTCTTTTTCTCCCAAACCACCTATACAATTTCGTATATAATTATAACGTCCCACAACTGTTTTGAATGTATATGCAGGCACCTTTTCATTGGCAAGTCCAATTTTTGTTTTATATGACCCAATATCAATAACGCCAATTGGAACACTTTGTGTTTGTTCGGTAATTTGTATATATTAGTATTAAATTGTATGTTTAAATGTTGTTTTTTACTTGTTACACTAAGTGTAATTGTCATATCCAATAATTAAAATATATTATTATTTAATTTGTGTAAGATCCATTATTAATTTCACCATTTATATTAAATTATTATTTTATAGTGTAGTTTCTTAATAAAATATTATTTTAATGATTATTCAATCAAACTTCAATAATACAACATCTCTATTATTTGATTGGGTGATACAATAATCTGTATAATAATATTCCAATAATTAATGTTCCAAATATTTTTTCCACACGCTTCTATTTTATGTATATATTTGTTATTAAATCTTTAATAAAAATTATTTCATTCATTGTTGTTTAAAATTAAAGTTAAATTTTAATGTAAATTTTGATTCATTAACTAATTTGATATAAATTCAAGGTTTCCAAAACTATGCAAAGACACTGTATTTTGAATATATATAATTTAAGGAATATATTTTTAATGTTGTTAAAATATATTAATATGACGATAATTGTTTTGAATATGTCTTATTTAATGATATAATTGTATTTTATGAAAAATATAAATATAAATTTGCATTCGTTTTTAATATTTTAATAATTAAGTTCAATTTACAAATGATAATTAAATTGATGTACAATGATCAAACCAAAGATTTTAACAAATAAACCAATTTTAGGTATTTATGTGAAATTATTAGTGTTGACTTTGTTTTTTATATTAATTAAATTTCATTAATTAAAAAAAATTTAAATTCAACAACAAAATAACACATGGAAAAGGAGTTGAGAGCACTTTCAACACTTTGCGCAAACGCAGCAAGAGAAGTTTCATATTATCATTTGTTAAATACAGAACCAGAGTTTGTTGATAACAAATCATTGGATATCAATAAACGGATTGAAAATGCCGAAACTTATTTTGACAAAATCGATGATATAGTTGAAAGAAAGAAAAGTATCACAACAACAGTCAACACAATACTTGACAATTTGGATGATGCATTTTACACAATTAAACACGAATTGACCAAATATTCAACACAGAAAGACAACGAAAAGTTGTATGAGATGTATATTATTAGAATGGGACTTATTGAAGAACAATTTAAAAGTGATTTAAAACAACACAAAGCCGATATTACAACAATGCTTCAAACAAAAAACATGAGAATTGGAGAGATAAAAAACTCAATTAAATTCAAATACATTAAATTGCAACATGAAGAATATGAAAAAGAACAGAAAGAATATGCAAGGCAATTCAAAAGAAGATGCATCACACACAAAGAGAAAGTGGGTCTTGAAAATATAACAAAAATGAAACTTGGGAGTGTTATATTTGACTCAGATATGGATAAATGGTCTGAACACGAATCCACATTCACAGAAAAAAATCGCTTACAATAAAAACTTGTGTTTTTTGGTAGAAGACATAAACCACAACAAGTTTGGTGGGGTGTATACAGGCACAATCAATGAAATTGGAAATTATTTGTATTGTGGAAATTCTTATTTATTTTCCTTGTGTAGAAACGGAGTGTTGAATCCCAAAAAATTTACAAAAAGTGGCAAAAATTTGGGTTACGAGTTATATCTGTGGCCACAAGATCATCCAGCACTCTTTGCATTTGGAGTCGGTTTTGACATGTGCGTGTTCAAAAAGGGTGTTGATGGAAGCTATTGTGAAATGGGTTCCTACACTGCACAACAGGACGAATTAATCGATAATATATATTTTACCCCAAAAAGTGTTTTGGTGTTTCAACTTAATTAATTTTTGTGTTTTTGTTTTTATATTATTCATATAAATATTACATAACTATAACTAAAGTTGCACAATTCTTTTCGATTCGTTTTTGGGTTGCACCATTCAATTGTTTCCTGTTCATCTAAATTTTGCAACATAGTTCAATAAATCACACAAGTAGGGTTGTCTTATTATTTTCGTTTCAATAATGTTATTAATTTTCCCGTTCATTGTTAACATTTTTGTTTTAAAAACATACTGACTTTGTTTGTCATTTTTATAGAAAAAAATTATTTTTGGTTATAGTTACCATGTTGTATATTAATTTTGTATCATTTTTAATAAATTAATTTTAATTTGTACACACAAATAAATATTAATTGTTACAGTTGGAGGAAATAAAAGGATGCCAGTGAAAGGAGGATGCTCTCAACTATTGGTTATTTTTAATATAAAATAACCAATAAAATAAAAAATTAAAATGAAATTATTTTTATATTAGCATCCTACTTTTTGTTAGCATCCCTCTATTTCCTTATACTGTAATTTCAAAAGATTAAATAACGACAGCAGTTAATTATAAAACACGATTATTAAGATTAAAAATAAAACGCTGACTTAACTTAATATATAATAATATATAATTTTGTTTAATAAATAATTCCAAATTATAGTTAGTAACGACAAACCTTTTCGTTATTGTATGTTTTTTAATTATTTAATATATTTATTATAAAATTTAAGTACATAAACCATGAATTACAATAAAAATTTTTATTATTTTTATATTTAAAGACCTTCAAAAGTTATAAATAATAATAATTCAATTCAACTGCAAAATATCTTTTAAATATTATCTGTTATCTTTAAAAACTTTAAAAATAGAATATTTTCTAAAGCTGTTTCAAAAAATAATATTTATTGTTTCGGTTTTTTTCATTTAATTTAATGCTTATGTTTACGAGTGAGATATTTATGTTTAATCATTTTTGTTTAAATTCAGAATAAAGTCGTTTTTATTAAAAAAAGTCATTTTTGTTTACATAAATAAATTTTATTTTTAAAATTCGTGTTTTTGTTAGTTAAATACAAATATTGACATATTTATTGTTTGTTATTTATCATTTCCACTCAAAAGCTCAAAATATCTTCAAATACCATTTTAAATAATCATAACATGATTCCTTCTGGTACACAACCTTCTTATATTATTTGGCATCAGCCTATTATTTACCAAACACAACAACCGTTCATCAATGATAACACAAATGGTAGACAAATAGAAGAAGTTGTTCAAACAGTGAACAATGAAAAAGAAGATACAAACATTTTAATCGAAAAAGATGAAACAACAACAAATAAAAATATTGTAACAACTATAATAAGTACTAAAGGGACACCTCTTCCAGTAGTTGATGGATTTTTGTTTTACAAAGATGGAGCATCCAAAAATACTTACAAATGTTCAAGTAGTAAAACTGGTTGCAAAGTTAAAATTAAAATTACTAAATTTAAAAAAGAAAGTGCTTTGCTGGAATTCGAAGAAGCTATTTTTGTTAACGGTAGTGAGCACAACCATGCAATATCTGAACAGTTGGACAAAATTAACTTGGTTCACGACATAGAAAGACGTGTCCAAGATCATAATCGTTTGTGCAAAGATCTGCTGCAATGCAGGGATTTGATTATGGTAAGTATAAAGGAAGAATGTCTTCAGCGAACAAATTGTTCACGAAAAAAGCAAAAGAAAGTAGACCAACAAATGGATATCTTGAACAGCACGAAATCTATCCCAAGTATTTGCTTTACAAAGATGATATTATGTCAATATTTGTCAATAAAGAAAAAATGCTTAATCTCAATACAATTAACACATTTCTAATGGATGGAACTTTCAGAGCCGCTCCAACTCCTTATTACCAATCTTATACAATACATGGTTTGATTAGTCAGGGGCAATGTTTTCGTTTATTTCATTGTTTGTTGATGAACAAATTACAATCTACATATGAAAAAATGATAGAAGTCATTATAAATTTTGGAAATGAATTTGGTATTAAATTATTTGATAAAGACACGATAACGATGGTAGATTTTGAAATTGCAATAGTAAACGTTTTAAAAAATAAAACACAAACAACTGTCAAAGGATGCCTTTTTCATTACGGACAATCAATTTGGCGGTTTTGTACAACACATGGTATGAAATCAAAATTAGAACACGACGCGGTGTTTTGTGAACAAGTCAGAAAACTCAAATCAATTGCATTTTGTCGTAGTACTGAAATTGTACAACAATTTAATAAAATGAAAGCTGCAACAAATTTAATCAATGATGATGATCTGAATATATTATATAATTATTTTGAAAAGGTGTGGATAAATGGTATATACCCACCTCAAATGTGGTGTCAGTTTTCTCAGTCAACAAGAACCAACAACTTTACTGAAAGTTATCACTATGCGTTTTTCAAGAGAATTGGAAGAAAGAAGCCAACACAGTGGCAATGGTTAGAAACAGTAAAAATAAACGAAGAAGAAGAATCTGAACGACTTAATAAATTAAAAACCTTTGGACGTATTAACAGAACGGGAAAAACTTATTCAAAAGAAAACACCCAAATTAATAATTTGACCAATGTGTACCTTGATGGGTTAATTGAGAGTGACAAGTTTTTAGATGGTATTTCTAAAGTCTTGTGTTCTTTAGGATCAGAAAAACTGTATGAAGAAGTACCAACAAATGATATTTTGAATGATAGCAGTAATTATTCAAGTTCATTAATTGAAATCGAATCTTTAAAAATTCATAAACCAAAAGATGAGAAAGACTTAGAAAATGTTGAAGAGTTGGATAGAGATACGTGTGATTATTTAACAACAACAAATCAAAAAATAAAAACACCAAAAGAAAAAAATGAAAAAGAATATTTAATTTTAGCAGAAGAAACCCAAAATGATGAAGAAATGTTAATAACACCATGTGAAAAATACCAAAGAGCTCAGATTGAACAAGAAACAAAGAAACCAATAACCATGGAATCTAAAATTGTAAAAAACGAAAAAATAAAAAGAAAGTACAAGAAAAAACATTCTTTAAGCAGTTTATTGAATAGAATTAACAAAAAAAAGAAAAAGAACAGATTTGGATTGATTAATTGTTTTTTTATTTCATTTTTATAATGTTAAATTTGTAATAAAACTTACAAATTAAAAAAACACTAAAAATAAACTTTTCATTCTATAAAACATTATATTGATTTTTATTTTTGGTGTTTTTTTCATACATTAAACAAAAATGATATTTTTAAATAAAAACGACTTTATTCTGATTTTAAACAAAAATGATTAAACATAAATATATCTTCCTGTGTTTACATATATTTAAAGCTTTTTTGTCCACCAAATATCCTTGAAAAACCCTAGAGTCATTTGCTAAACGTTGTCTGGTCTGTACCATTGTCTGCCTATTTTTAGACCATTATAAATGTAATATTTCGGGATTTTTTTGAAAAACCCCAAAATCGTTATTTCAATATTTTTCCCGGTTTTTTTATTTTCACCTAAGTCCCGTTTTTTAAAACAAAAATCAATTATTATTTTTTGTCAAAAAGACAACTTTTGGGGAACAGACTACTTTTATTGACTCTATTATTATTTAAACATATTGTTAAAAAAACGATATATTTTAAAATATTATTTTGTTATTTAAATTTCTATAAAATATAAATAGAAATATAATAATGTATTTAAATTATTAACTTAATAAATTATCTGAAAAGTTTTTTTGTTATTCTTATTGAAAATGAAGATGGAAATTAAATATACGAAAATGTATATTTTTCAAACGAAATAATTATAAATATAACTTTTCGTGTTTGGTTGGTTATATGTATTAGTTTAATAAAAAGAAACATATTATAATATCGAAAACCTTATTATTATTATTATTATTGTTATTTGTTTTAAATTTAAACTTTGTTAGTAAGAATAAAACTTAAATTGTCATGTATTTCATTGTAGTGGCTTTGCTATTTGTAAAAGTTTCAAGTCTAAAGTGGTGTAAATACGACAGAAATATAAAATGTGTTGATGATAGTAATGGTTGTTATAATTTGGCTGTTGACAACTATTTACCTCTTGATGATCAAAGTACTGCGATTGATTCAGTTGTGTGCGAAAAAGACGCATCCATGTATGTTGAAGTATCACAAAGTAATTTCACATTTGTCGAGTTTTCACAATTAAACACAATGTTTAATTTAAAAAGAGAACGCAACAATATTATCAATTCTATAAAGAGTGGAAAAACAATTGATGAATATAACGAAAAAGAGTGTCTTAAATATAAATGTGGGGTTCAACAAAGCAATAGAAATGAATGTATTTGTTTGCAATACAAAACGATCGACTTTTCGTCATTAAAATTAAATGTAGTTTGTGATTCAAAATGTAATGGCTGTATTGGTTCTTCTTCAAATTGCACAGTTTGTGCAAATGGGTATTACAATTCATCTTCAGATTGTCTTCCATGTGAAGACAAATGTGCATCAGGACATTGCAAACCCAACCTAAAATGTGACCAATGTATTCCACATTATTACCTTGACTCGTCTATGACTTGTCTTGCGTGTTCTTCTGTATGTGGCAATTGCACAAATCAAAGTTATTGCACAACATGTCCAAATACAAACCAATACGTTTTAAGTGGCGTTTGTTACAACTGTTACACTGGATGCTCATCTTGTTTTCAAGGCTATTATTGGATATGTACTTCTTGTTACTCGAAATATTATAGAGTCCAAACAGTTGATAATGGAAATTGGATAGTTTATCA